GGCTTCTTCAGGCTGTGACTTTCAAAGAGTGTCTCCAAGTGGTACCCACCCCATCCCTGGATGCAAATTTTTCTCTATTTTCTGGAAGCCCTGATTCCTGCTGTTTCCCCTCAGTAGAGACAGGCAGGCTAGAGGGGGTGAGCCTGACTAGAGTCCTTTCCCCTGGAAAGCAGACCTGTGTTATGGGGAACCACAGAGCATCCTTAGAAGCCCCTGGAGATGCAGACCAGAATAGTTCCTAGGTCACTAGCACCGCCTCAGGATGTTTCCCATACCTAGTTAGTCTGTACTTTCCTCTAAGTACTGATCAGAATTAACAGTCAATCCTCCCTGAGGGCTGATGGTCGAAGTTGGCAGATCTGACCTGGGTTGGACCGGGTTTGCCTGTATTTACAGATCTCAGAGAACTTTCTTGCCCAGTGACATCACTTCTCCCATGGATCCAAGGAAAGTGGTTGTTTTTTAGTTTCCCCGCTTTTTCCTCTTGTGAGGATGAAAGAAATACTATCCAGGCTCTGCACATGTCTGCACTGGAAAACAAGTCCCGACATTTGTTTCTTATCATGATAGATGCTACAGTCATTGTTTCAGTAGCTGCTTCACTTTCAAAGGAAGGAAATGTCTTAAGATAAATAGCAGTTGTTAGATATGGGACACCGTTAATGGCATTAGCAATCATTTTACCTGCTTGCTTTCTTACTTTTTCTTTGCATCTCATGTTTGCAAAGTAGCTTGCTTTATTTTACATTCATTCAAAACAGTGGTTTGAAGCAGACATTGTGATTCTTCCTGATAAGGAAACAGAAGCTTAGAGGCCCAGATCCACTCGGCTGCACATCCACACGTAAGTCAGTGGTTAGCACAGAGCTGGAACCTCGACCAAGCCAAAACTTGCATCAGAAGGCGCGAAGCCCCGGTTTTGGCATTTCCTTCTGTAACTTACACCTCACTTGCTGTGCCAAGTGCCAACAGTGGCTGTAGGCTATTCTTTTTTGAGAAAACTGGATAAAAGGAAAAAGCAAGAGAGAGGGTGGTAACTGTGCTCAAGGCTGGATTTTTTAAGAGGAAGATTTAAATATACAGTTGCACAACCTCAGAGGGGTGAAAGTGTAGGAGGGTGAGTTAGGCCTTCGAAGAGCTGGCGGGGGGCAGCTGGGATGAATGGAGAAAGGCAGTGTGCTAAGCGTCTGCCCACCCCCATTTTTTCTCTTTCCGTTACCACCCACTTTTTCTGTTCTCCTTTAAACCTAGATAAAAAGACAGAAAAGGATTCCCTGAAGCTGAATGTGTTTATTTGGGAATGGCAGAGTGTTGCAAGGCGAGAACACATATTGCAGCTAACGAGGAGCATCTTCAAAGAGGTGAAGATGAGGGGATGGCATGAAAGCAAAATAAGGAGATTCATCGGATATTTAGAAACCATAATCCTTGGTTGCAAGGGTCCCAGCAAGAGCCGCACCAATCCAGGGTCCGACAGACAGTTACTTGGCACATGGCCTCCCAGAAGTGTTTTTTGCAAACTCACAGTGGCCTTGTAAAAGACTGTAGTTCTAGCAGTCTTTGCTAATATTCCTTGCTGTGGTGATTTGAATGAGTATGCCCCCCATAGGCTCCAGGGTATGCGGACATTTTGTCCCCATTTGGTGTTTTGAGAGATCTTAGAAGGTGTGGAGGCAGCATGTCACTGGGGGTGGGGCTTAGAGATTTCTTAAGCCTTGCCAGGTCCCCAGTGGTTCTCTGCTTCCTGTGCCTGCTTGAAGATGAGAGCGCTTAGCTTTATACCCCAGCCACCTGTGCCGCCATGCCTCCCCACCATGATAGATTCTTGCCCCTTTGGAACCTTAAACTAACTCTTCCTTCTATAGTTGCCTTGGTTATGCTGTCTTATCACAGCAACAGAAAAGTAACTAATACACTTGCTATCAGGAAATTATGGATGATTCCCATTGTCTTTCTTTAGACTTAAATAAATAAATGATATACATGTTTAAATTTATAGATCACTTAAAATATGTCCTGTCCTTACCTTCTCAATAGAATTATCCCACAGTATTAGGCTCTAATCATTTATAATATTAACCTTTGAAACCAAATCGGTATTGTATTAAACACCTGGTTGACCTGTGGATCACATAGTCTGTTGAAGCTTCCATTAAGGAAATTGGATCATATGTAGAACATATCAAAGAAATCACTGAGCCAAACTTCCTTCACTCTGTGTTGTGGAGTAAGAAGTAGAGGTACTAGGGTAGTTTTCTGGGTGAAGATAGGCTAAGGAATAACAAAACTTTCTCCACAGAGGTGGGGGTGTCCTTTGCAAGAATGATTGTGCCTTTTTAAGGTAGGACTTTAATCAAGAAAAAAAAAAAAAATGGAAGAATTGTGTTGTAGGCTATCAATGAAAGGTTTCCAAACAGGGCTGAATACTAACACGGGGTTTGGTGCTAATTGTACGTGTCAACTTGACCTGCCTATGTGGTGCTTGGACAGGAGGCAAAATGTTTCTGGCTGTGTCTGTGAAGATGTTTCCAGTTCTAGAACTGGTGGATTGAGCAGACAATCTGCCCCCGCCCCCACACTGGGCGTCACACAACCCATCCAGGCAGTGGGCCTTACCAGCATGAGAAGGCAGGGAAGGCTGAGGACTTCAGGACTAGGGACAGCCACCACCTCCTGCTCTCAGACTACCTGGTTCTTGGCTCTCCCATGAGCGGCTTGCATCAGCCCCTCCCCGTTCTTTGTACCATTTGTTCTCAGACTGAATTACCCTGCACCTTCCTGGTTCTCCATCTTGAGAGGGCAGATTGGGACATCTCAGTGTCCATATCCACGTGCACCAGATCTCCGCATACACCCTATACGTGTATCTATGTGCATGCCGTATTATTTCTGTTTCTTTGAGACAGACCCCTAATAATCACTTCCAATTCTGGAACTCCATGGTGGCAGGAAATGATGGACATACCTTTAGTCTTTGATCCTAGATAGCACTCATACAATGAGAACCTTCTCACTCTTCAGACATATTCACAAGTATTCATGGACATAGTACAAGCCATTTTTTACTTAAGAAAAATCATGAAAATCCTGAGGCAATTGTTTTGGTGGGGAGACATAATAAATTAGTTGCCACAGGCACGTCCGATACTATGAAGAAGAAAATTCGGCTCCTTGAAGTGAGAACGTGAACTCGAGCTGAGTGTGTGGCAAGCTGGAGGCCACAGAGGCTTGCCGGTGAAGGGTCTGCTCTCAAGGCTGTTCATTTCCAGGATGCTGAATAATGAGTGAAGGTGGATGTGGGGTCATCTGATTGTCTGTAGTGTAGATGAGACGTGCTATGAAAATCCAGACTTCTGCCAATCCCCCTCCTTTAGATCACTTTAGAAGCAAGCAACTCATAGAAGAAAGAGGGAGGGTGGGTGGAGTGAAAGAGGCTTTGCCACTCAGTGTTCACAGTCCCACAGTCTGGGCTGGGGGAATGCAAGGAGCCTGAAGGGAAAGAACTGAGACGAGGGATAGTATGTAGCCCAGGGCTACAGGTGGGAGATGGAGGGCCTGCACCAGCCGCTCAGGACCCTGTTTAGGGTCAATAAATCATCAGCACCTGCTGCTGTTATAGTCATAGTTTTGTTTGGGGTTTATGCTTCATTCACAAGTTTTTATTTTGACCTTCTAGTTATGTAAACATAAATTGTTTATACCTGGGTCTAATTAAGAAATGTTATCATAAAAAAAATCTATTCACAGCTGGGAGTGGTGGTGCACACCTTTAGTCCCAGAACTCAGAAGGCAGAAGCAGGTGGATCTTTATGAGTTCAAGGCCAGCCTGGTCTACATAGTGAGTTCCAGGCCAGCTTGGGGCTACAGGGAGATCCTACCTGAAAAAGACACACACACACACACACACACACACACACACACACACACACGCACACACAACCCTATTCAATCTAAAAGTTGTATTTTCTTTCTTTATAACTTATCTTTTATGTCACACAAATGACCTTGACTTATTCTTATACTAGATATAATAAGAAACAGAATTTGAAATTAGCTCATCTTTAGAATTTCTATTCTGGCATTCTCCTAAGACACACGTAAAAGGGTGTCTGTGATAACCCAGAACTAAACACCTTGAACAGGATTACCTCAAATACCGTTAGGTGCCATGAATGCTAACAAACATGGACCAGTACAGCATACAGTGAGGAGGAGGAATGGCTAGGGTCAAAGTATAGAAGAGGAGCATGGAGTGGTACCCAGAAGCTGAACTTAACACAGGAACATAAATATGGGAAATGACAGATGAACTTATTGTAAATATGGAGCTTAAAACCCACAAAACTACATAAGACAGGTGTGCAGAAGGTGTCCTCATAGAGTATGTGAAATTAGATGGGTGGAATTACTTATGCCATGTCCTAACTAGAACAGTAATAAAGGGAGGAAGCTATGAAGGACAAGATCTCCTGAAGAACTAGAAAGAGTTGACAGCCTTTTTTTTTTAAGAACAGGGGTGGGGGGCCGTAAACCCCATTGAATCCTGATCTGCTCTGTCTCCATTTCCAAGTCTTGATGACTAGAACCCTGGTCCCAGTGGTCAGGAAATAGCATCTGATTGATATTTGAAAACCTGCAGCCACTGGCTCTCCCACTCCAGACCAGAGAATCCTGGCTCTGTGTCAGGGAACATTTCTAAGTATCCAAAGTGCTGTGATTACCATGAGGCCTCAAAAGACCAGTTCATAATGAAGAAGGGAAAGGCCCAGCCAGATTCACATGCACCCTTTCCTAAAGAGTTATAGTGAGAGCCCAGGCAGTGGCCATCGCTCCTTGGAAGGCCTGCCTCCTTTGTCATTAGTTAGACATGTGCCCTCAGGTACACGTTTGTGTCCCCCCGAACATCAGCATTAGCTGCTGACAGTCATAACTGTATAAAAGAACGTGCCACTGCGCAGAATGATGATGACACGTTTGTTATTAATTCTCCTCTCCAACAGCTGGCTGTCCCAACTCCTTGATTAAAGAGCTTCATCACTTCAGGATTCTTGGAGAAGAGCAGGTAAGTCAGCCTCTCAAAGGCCGCATCACAGTGTCATGAAAGATGGATGCTAATGAGACAGTTTGGGCCCTCCCTGGGGAGGCCTAGTGTGTCTCCTGACCCACAGCACCCTGAAATGGGGAAAAAAGCCATGCCAGAGATACATGTGAGGACACGTTTCTCCTCTTGTCTCCATCAGATCTGACAGGTTATTAATTGGTACATCTGCTCTGTGCCAGAGCATTTCATCTTAAGACTGGAGTCATAAGCAGGCTCTGCATAGCTGCAGATGAGCAAACAAATACTCACAGAGATCAATTATGCCTAAGGGATCAATAGGCACAGACATTCCTGATGCCACATCTATGAGCAGATAGGCAAGCTCTTTTTACCGGATTTTTGTACCTGGTGTTATCTGTATCTTACTGCAGGCCTTTTCTATATGTGGGTGAACACGTGACCTACAAAGGCGGGCCCACTTAAGCATGGCTATTTAAGTCCTGAATTATGTTCAGTATGGAATGTTATATTTTAAGTCAATGTGCTAATTATATATGTATCCATGTATGCATGCTTTTACTTTTGACTGCTTAAAATATAATTGGCTTTCCATAGCCATGGGTTCACGTCTGTGGATTCACCCAACCACAGATTGGAAATACTCGAAAAACCACAGCAAGGAGGTTAGGGAGATGGCTCAATGCAGATGTGACCCCAGAGTTTGAATCCCCAGAACCCTCATAAACCCACATGCAGCAGTATGAGTCTGCAATCCCAGGGCTCCTGGTGGGAAGTGGGACAGAATTCCCGAGGTGGCAGGCCAGATACCACACCGGCATACAACAAAGAGGTCCTGCCTCACACAAGGTGGATGGTGAGCACTGTACCCAGGGTGTCCTCTGACCTCCACATATGTAACTTGGCATGCATGTGCTCCCCAGATCTGCAACAGACACAAATCAACAGAAACATACAATACAAATTAGTGCTATACAATATTTACAGTTTACATTATAGTAAGTATTATTAGTAATTTAAATTAGCAATTTAAAGTACACCAGGTGATATGTGTAGATTACATGTAAATGCTACATCATCTTTTGTACAGGAGAAACTTGAGCACCCCCAGATTTGGGTATCCACTGTGACTACTGAAACTAATCCCTCACGGAAGTCAAGGGATAAATGCACACCTCTTAATTACAGTGTTTACTAATATGTTACTCTTGATGTTAAATTATCCTTAAAAATACTTACACAAATAGTTGGCAATGTGTTGACTGACCTAACCCCACTCTATCATTGACTTTCACTCTTTGCCAACACTGACCACACAATAGACAAATGGAATCGTGGTGACTCCATTTTACCAATGAAATTTTGGGTTGTGTTTCTGTTGTTATGTGTCTTAGCTTTTTCTTCTGTTGCTATGATAAAATACCTGACAAAAGCAAATTAATAAACAAAAGGTTTATTCAGACTCACAGTTCAAGGGCACAGTCCATCATGGTGGGGAAGTCAGGGCAGCAGGAGCAAGAAGTACCTGCTCACGTTGCATACACGGCCAGGAAGTGGAGTGATGATGCAGGCTGCTGCTCAGCTCCCTCTCCACTAAACAACCTGGATCCAAGCCAGGGGGTGGTGCCACCCACAGAGGGAGGGTCTCCCCACCTCAATCAATGCAATCAAGATGATCCCCCACAGGAGTTCTAAGAGGCCCATCTCCCAGGTGGTTCTAGATCTCATCAGGCTGACAGTGAGATTAACCATCACAG